GGGAGGGAATGGCCGGCAGGGATGTAGCTCAGTTGATAGAGCATGGCGTTTGCAACGCCAGGGTTGTGGGTTCGATTCCCACAGGGGGCCAGTATAAAAAAAAAAAAATATATATATATATATATGTAAGTCGCTCTGGATAAGAGCGTCTGCTAAATGACTAAAATGTAAATGTAAATGAATAATAATAGGTTGATTGAATTTGAACCAAATCAATTGAAAAGTGGTAGCCTACATGATAAAGGGGACACGAGCAGCGGAGAAACAGCAGCGGAAAGGCCAAAGGGTTGGCTTGCTATTTCGGCGGCCCTGTTCTTCAACCGAGAACAGCCTTGTCTCATAGACTAGACATATAACGTGGACGTCTAGCAACCCAAAGGTTGCGTGATCGAATCTCATCACAGACAAATTTTGTATTTGAGCTAATTAGCAACTTTGCAACTACTTAATACTTTTTAGCTACTTTGCAACTATACTGAACAAAAATATAAACGCAACATGTAAACTGTTGGTCCCATGTTTCATGAGCTGAAATAAAAGATCCCAGACATTTTCCATACGCACAAAAACCTTATTTCTCTCAAATTTTGTGAACAAATGTCTTTACATCCCTGTTAGTGATCATTTCTCCTTTGCCAAGATAATTCATCCACCTGACAGGTGTGGCACATCAATATGATTAAACAGCATGATCATTACATAGGTGCACCTTGTACTGGGGACAATAAAAGGCCACTTTAAAATGTGCAGTTTTGTCACACAACACAATGCCACAGATGTCTCAAGTTTTGAGGGAGCGTGCAATTGGCATGCTGACAGCAGGAAATTCCATCAGAGCTGTTGGCAGAGAATTGAATGCTAATTTCTCTACCATAAGCTGCCTCCAACTTCATTTTAGAGAATTTGGCAGTACATCCAAAGGCCCCACAACCGCAGACCACGTGTAACCACGCCAGCCCAGGACCATCACATCCGGCTTCATCGCCTGCGTGATCATCTGAGACCAGCCACCCCGACAGCTGATGAAACTGAGGAGTATTTCTGTCTGTAATAAAGTATTTTTGTGGGGGAAAACTAATTCTGCTTGGCTGGGTCTGGCTCCCCAGTGGGTGGGCCTGGCTCTCAAGTGGGTGGGCCTATGCCCTCCCAGGCCCACCCATGTCTACGCCCATGCCCAGTCATGTGAAATCCATAGATTAGGGCCTAATGAATTTATTTAAATTGACTGATTTCCTTTTACGAACTGTAACTCTGTAAAATCATTGAAATTGTTGCATGTTGCGTTTATATTTTTGTTCAGTATACTTTGCATGTTAGCTAACCCTTCCGCTAACCTTAACCCTTTAACCTAACTTCTAACCTTAACACTAACCTTAACCCCTAACCCCTAGCCTAGCTAACATTAGCCACAACAATTTGGAATATATAACATATACGTTTTGCAAATTCGTAATATATTGTACGAATTGCAATTTGTAACATATCATACGAAATGGATGATGGACGATGGACATCCACAAATTAAAACATACCATACGAAATGTAACATATCATACTACTTGGAGTGTCCCAGATTTACATTTACTATGTTACGTCTACCCCTGAGTCCAGATTGCCGAGAAAGGGGCTTATTTATTTTTTTACCAATGTCTAGCATCCCAAAGGTTGCGGGTTAGAATATTATCACGGACAACTTTAGCACTTTAGTTAATTAGCAACTTTGCAACTACTTACTACTTTTTAGCTACTTTGTACCTTAGCATGTTAGCAAACCCTTCCCCAACCCTAACCCACACTTAACCGTTTAACCTAACTCCTAACCTTAACCCTAACCTTAACCCCTAACTCTAACCCCTAACCTAGCTAATGTTAGCCACAACAAATTGGAATTTGTAACATATCCTACGTTTTGCAAATTCTTTAACTTATGCTACTAATTTCAATTTGTAACATATTGTACGAATTGCAATTTGTAACATATCATACGATTTGTAAATCATAAAATATCATACTAAATGGATGATGGACAAATTAATACATACCCTACGAAACGTAACATATCATACTAATTGGAGTGTTCCAGATTTACATTGACTATGTTACGTCTACCCCTGAGTCCAGGTTTCCGAGAAAGGGGCTTATATTGCCTAACACATAGGCATATGCCTTGCTTGGGTTTTGGATTTCCTCAACTAAAGTCCTGATGGTATGTATGCCCTATATTGAGCACATTCCTGACATTATATTCCACATACTTTTGTTGCAATAAAATATGTGAACTTGTGTTGTAGGCCTAATCCTTTTCAGGAAAGGGAGAGGTCAGGTTGAGGCTTATCAGCCTATCTTCAGCCAAGGTAAGTGCTTTTATCTATTCCCATTTGGCCACAGGTGTGCAACAATGCCAACAATATCATATTCAATAATGTGGGATAGGCATATTGTTTTTCTACAGGCCATGGCCTAAACCTTATCAAGCTCTAGAAAATACAGTATATCGGCCTATGCTGCATTTTTTGCATACTGATTAATGTCTTCTTCTGACATCTCCGCACGTAATTTTTGGGTATCCCACAACCCGTTTCAAAGGTGTGCATAGAAAATAAATAGGCTAAGCTTATGTCCTATCAGGTCATGGATGGCATCAAATAGGCTACCTGCGATAAAAAAAAAAAAAGTAATATGAGATGGTAATTGCATAGACACAGGATAGCTTCACTTGAGCTTCAGTTAGGCCTAAATGAGCATGTGTTAATTATGTAAGACCACCACAGACCTACGCAGGAAAAATTATCTCCATGCCACTCAATGGGGTATACAGCCTTTATCCATTCATGACTATGGTTGGTTGGCATGGTCACACAAGCAACAGCTCTGTAGACCTACACTACAGGGTACATCCACCAATAATTCGGATTTTTCAGGGGGTGCTGCAGCACCCTTACTTCCCGCGGCTGTGCCTATAGCCATGCTGAGAAGTCTTTTAGTGCTTGTTCGTCTCCATCTGTGATTAAGGTCCTGCATTTAGCCTTCATTGCCCACAGAGGACGCTGTCCTCTCGTTATTCATCTACCACTGGACATGCGTTAACAAGTCAATTAATATCAATGAGTGAATATATACATAGGTTTACCGCATTTACGAAGACTGAGGAATGAATTAACTAAATCGATTTGGTAAAAACTGATGACTATATTCGTCACAGAAACAGTTTAAAGGCGGCATTCTTTAGATATGCATAAAATAGAAATATGATTATAATTTCTAATTGATGACATATTTTACAGTTGGTCAACCGTAACTGTTTCTGAGACCATTTCAGAACTAATTTCAAAATGTATCAGCATAGAAAATTGACAGGTGTTCAGATCTCTGATGAAACAAAGTAAACACGCATTACTTTTTTTATTAAACCGTTGGGTTTCATTTTACTATTTAAGGGGGTCAATTCATAAACTGTGCCACTGAATTTTGAATGGTTTACCTTTATTGAGCGTCCGGAGCCTTTGTGTCCCAATAAGCAATGCAAATAAATACATCTTGACTACATTTGGAGTTAGGCAAGTGATTAAACATGCACATCCAATTCACAATCATTTGATTGCAACATTATTTTAATTAGGCTATTTCTACATTTAAATATATATTCCATATTCTGTAAACCTTTTATAAAAGTGATAATGTGGACATAATTTACAACCCCTTTCAATATAATTTTGGCAAATAGTCCATGGGGAGAAAAGTCCAATTATTTTCATTAATTTAACTCATTCACTCCAAATTGTGTCAAAACATGACACCTGGAGGGAAATTCTCTTGTCTGTGCTGTAATGACGAACGTTTGTAGCCTAATCTGTGATACTATAATAGCTAGTATAGAAACGTAGCCTAGTTGAATGAATTGTATAAGTGGAATTTGCCCTATAAGGGAATATAAATATTTTGCACAATATTAGTTTGCATGTGGCCTATTATGGGGGGAAAAAAACGTTTTATTATTTTTAGCCTAGGCCTACTGGGTAATAATCAAATTGTTTTACCAAATGTGCCCTAATCCACAATATCCTACTTTGTTGTAGGCTTATCTTCATCTGAGGACATGAGCATCTATTTTGTTGGTGTTTGAGTTATGAAATGATGACCATTATAAAAAAGCAGAATTTACATCCATAGGCTTAAAGTGCATGCCGAAAATGATTATTGTTCTTCCGGAATCTAGGCTATATTATCAATAACTATGAATCAGACCACAAACAAAAAATCATCTAATTCACCATAATGTTTTTATCTACCCAAACCCGTGCATCAAATTATGATATAGGCCTACTCTGCTGGTATTGGCTATAGGCTGTGTTCGATGAAAGTAATTTGCCTATTGTACTTCCATCGACGCTTATGCCAAACCATTCCTTTTGTGCTAACAACCCTGTCCTCATTTGCTAGCTAATTTGACTCTATAAGACCAATAACACCAGGGCGTAACAGCCTACAACCAAAGCGCAAAGTGAGGGTGGACTTCGTTGTTATCGTGTAGCCTACACCCCCTCTCTCTCTCTCTACCTCGCTCTCTCTCTCTCTCCGCCCGTCTCTTTCTACTTCCCATCTCTTCCTTAATCCCATTTGCCATTGTACGTGCCCAATCGCCGTATACTTTCCGCATTTAACTTGGATGACATTTTTATTTCATCATTAGCATCCGGCGCCAGACTGACGCGGTGGACACAGTTGCATTTTGACAAAGGAACGCACAAGACTTGGACGCAATACTGATATTATTTTGTCCTCTCGGAAGACTATTTGATTTTCTGATGTGTATTTATGTTTTACGTTCTTGATCAGCTGCGTAATCAAGAAGATATTCCGTATTTAAAACATCGCACAGAAGGACAATTAGGCCTACCAGTTTATAATATCCCTGTTTCTAAGTGAGATTTTGTTAATTCCAGTCTTTTAACACTTACGTTTGTGGTCTACGGCATTCGGACCACAACCTCCAAGCAGCAATGCCCGAGACGGCGCAAGAGACCTGCACTCCGGTGAAAGACTCTCCCTTCTTCATTAAGAACTTGCTTAACTGTGATAGTAAACCATCCAAACCGAAGCCCATCTTCGCCTCGGCAAAGGCGGCGTTGGAAGGGGGCTTTTCCCTATCTCAGGTCGGGGACTTTAACTTTCCTCGATTTGAGTTACCCACACAGAGGTTTGCTTTACCGGCGCACTATCTGGAGCGAGCCTCAGCATGGTGGTATCCCTACACTCTCAGCGCAGCCAGTCATCTACACAGAACGGAAGGTAAGCCCATGCACATCTGATTGTCTTCTCTTTCTTTACCTTTTACATGATTAATCAGAATGTATAATGTGTGCGTAATTTGTATAGCGGAAATTGCAATGGATTTTATGGGTTGAGTTTTCATCCGTCAAAGGACATTCATACAAGGATAATCATTCTTGAACTACATCCATATCCTCATTTTAGGGAGTCTTGTATTTTATGTCACTAATGATAAGCATTTCATTCAAAGTTAGGCCATTGTTTGTCAGCATTGTATGTTTCTAGTCAAGGGTATGTTCAATTTAAGGGTATACTAGCCAACTGTTATTGTATATAGGCCTATTTGCTAAAGCATATCTAGTGTCAACGAGGCATTGAACATGCAGCCACGTTTATAACCCATACATATTTCCTGTCGTTATTTTAGTTGCGGAGAAGGCAAGAGCAAGAGACTCTTCTCCAACCTCATGCACGGACCGCGACTCGCCAGACCTGGTGCTCAAATCCGATCCAGACGCCAAAGAAGACGAGGACAACAAAAGTGGTGATGAAATAGTTCTAGACGAGAGTGATTCTGAGGACACAAAGAAAGACAGTGGGATAGACGACAGGAAGAAAAACGAGGACGGTGACGAAAAGAAAGCATGTCGAAAAAAGAAAACACGCACGGTGTTCTCCCGGAGTCAGGTGTTTCAGCTTGAGTCCACCTTTGACATGAAACGCTACTTGAGCAGTACGGAGAGGGCCGGATTGGCTGCGTCATTGCACCTGACAGAGACACAGGTAAAGATTTGGTTCCAGAACAGAAGAAATAAATGGAAGAGGCAGCTTGCGGCTGAACTAGAGGCTGCCAATCTGAGCCACGCCGCTGCACAGAGGATAGTTCGAGTGCCCATCCTCTACCACGAGAACTCTGCCTCAGAGACTGGCAATGCAACCGGCAACGTTGCTGTGAGCCAGTCGCTCCTCACCTTCCCCCACCATCTCTATTACTCTCACCCAATCGTCACCTCCGTGCCGCTACTCAGACCGGTCTGAGGTTGTTATCTATATTCCTAACTCGAAGGCCTACAGAACATTACACAAGACAAACTAAAACATTATTTTTGTAAAGAAGAAAATACAAATAAAAAATAGGCCTATACTTTCTGTTAAAGAGGATATATTGTGCATTTTTATATTAGGGTGAAGTTTACATTTTGTCTGGCATAATTTCACCCCGTTAGCATATTGTTCTTGTTGTTAAATATTAATATTACTGTTATTATTATTGTTATATTAATATGAAGAATTATTATTATTATTATTAGGCATTTTATTATTATAGCAGCTTTGAGATCATTTCCGCTAAGACTATCCAGTTAACACTGCCCCAAAATACATTTCAGGAAGTCTGCCCTCCCCCCCCTTCAAATTAATGTAATTTCTTATAATAGCATTCTGGTGCATGGGGTCGTAGCATTTGACCCCAAGTGATGTTTTCATTGTGTTTTCTCTTTTCTCAGCCATTTAGGAATATCGAACCGGCTCAACACTCTTTCCTCAAAGCGCTTTAACAGGGGACAATCAAGATACACTTTTTTATGTACAATATAATTGTATCTTATAGGCTTATTGATGTACTGATTCTAATTTCTGCTTCCTCGACAATGTCCTTATAGCACAATTAAGAATTGAATGTCATTACATTTTCTGTTTTTCAAACAATAACATGGTGTACAAATGTATATGGATATATTTAATCGAGTCAATGAAAGGAGCTACCTGTTGATGGTATTCCTTTTGTACAGAAAAAAAAAAACGTTTTGATATTGTATTGCTGAATTCTGTTGTGAAATAAATGGAGATTATTCCATACTTAAATATTTCAAATCAGTGATTACTCAATAATATATTTGGGTGTAATTGGGTGTAGTATACCGTCTATGCCTCGGGCATCTATTCTGAAATGTTATATTTTTGCAAGTTTGTCTCCCAAACAAATTAGTCTATTGTCGACTTTCAAAACCTCTTCATGAACAGGTTTGATTGTTGAATAATGTAAATAGATAGCATAACTCAAAAAATAATCAAACATTTATTATAGACACAATATAATTGTTGTGGATTTCAAAATTAACATTATGTCGTGTGTGAGATTAAATCAATATACTCCTGGCATATACAAAGAAGAGGATATTCGGCGTCAATTCCCATTACAGAGGCTCGACTGGGCCTATCTAACTACAAGTGCTACCGGTCTCGAGCAGACCACGTGTCCTACACTCCTCGGAGACACACTGCCATAGTAGTTGTTGACTGAATAAATCAAATCATATCAAATTGTATTTGTCACATGCGCCGAATACAACAGGTGTAGACCTTACATTGAAACGCTTACTTACAAGCCCTTAACCAACAATGCAGTTTTAAGAAAAATAAGTGTTAAGTAAAAAATAGATAAGTAAAAAAGAAAAAAGAAAAAAGAAAAAGAAATAACTAATAACTAAAGAGCAGCAGTAAAATGAGATTATTACAATTTGGATGCTAGGCATATTATATACAGTATATTGAAACAATTATCCTTGGAGCAAACACGGTGGAGGTGGTGAGTAGGCCTATACCATGTAGCATAAGGACATAAGAGAAAGTTTGAATTAATCGACATTATGCATGATTCACAAACTAGCTAAGCCCACACACTAACCCTTTTTTATTTGCTATGATTATTACTTAATAGTGCAGATTTCATTTGTCATCCATATTGACTGTAGAACTAAATACAGGTAGGCCTACCCGAAAACCACGCGCTTATTTTGGGAGTCCCGTCAATTATTATGTGAATAAAGAACATGAGCAGGTGTGTAATCAACCTGCTGTTACGCACTTCAAAAGTTGTTTTACATAAAAAATGGCTCGGTCAATTAGATTTATAATTGCCACCATCTTGACCAAATTATGGGGCAATGTAGTCTATTCAAAAGAGGCACATTAATTGCCTAATTCTAGGCTATTCAAAAATGTGCTTGTGTGCGTGCGTACGTACGGCGTGCGTGCATGCATGCGTAGCTCCTTATAGGCTATATAGCTATATGTTTAACATTTCATTTTTTAAAAACCTATACGTTTAATTTTGCAAAAATAATCATATTACTTGTGGATGCAGCGTTTATGTCCGTCTTCGGCAATGGTGCACTAGACAGGTGTAGGCTAATTAGCCCACCAAATACGCCCTTCGTCTCTCACGTAATGGTTGTATTGTTTATTTTGCCTATGTAGTTTCACATGGGTCAGCAACATATATAGAATTAGGGTTTGCTCAATTCGGTTTCATGTTCCAAGGGTTCAGTTTGGTCTCATACATGGCTATTCACACACCCATGCCAATGTCTCCGTAGTGCTCATGTCTACAATTCACCTGTGGAATGTTTCTGACGTAGAGCTATTGCAAATGCTCGAATAGATATGCTACATTTATGTTGAGTAGAAAACCTTTGGTATCTTCTGAAAAAGTTTTCTAAAGTCTTTCGATCACCATGGGCCCACATAAAGGTTTTAGGGAGTTGAAAGATTTTGAAAGCCTATTGGCTATGCACGATAACGCTTGACGCAGACTCCCTCCTCAAACCGTCATATTTTGTGTCCACGATATTTTGTGGACTGACGTTTTCCTTTTAATCCATAAGGAAATGTACTTTGTTAAATCATGTTTCACCTGTTTAATGTCAGTCACTCATTCTATATTTATTTTGGACGAGATAAATTGGCCCAAATGACACACAACATTAGCCTATAAAGTTGCGAACTTGTTCACAAATGTATTATCTAATGTTAGGTGGTGGAATAATATAAATATCAAGATGCAACGTGTTGACTATATGTAATTACTGTTGAAGATAACTTTATTATTGTATTCAGCATTCCCTCCAGCTGAGTAGAAACCAGTCAACTCTTTGCCTCAAAGTTCATTTTCTGCTTTTGTCTCTAATGCAGTTATCGAAAACAAATCAGTAGCTACTCAATGATGACCGCACCACTAGACAAAGTGCGCATTCAAATATCGTCTGATAATCACTCATGTATTGACGTATTATATCATGCAAACTCAACATGGACCCATTACAGAGAATTAATAGATTGATATGGCGTTCTTCCCCACGCACATATTGATCTGCGAACGTCTGTAAAATATTGTTACAAATAAGGGCATTGTTCACGGGCAGTTTTGGTTGCGCTCATGACCTTGATTTGCGCGCATAAATTGAAAAAATTGCCACTCGATAATGTCCATTTGTAGAACATCTTTATGCAAAGGAGAAGGGGCGAGAGCAAAAATCGGATAAAGTACATTTGCAGGAACGGGGCAATGGACATAACCTCGGGCGGCTCAATATATTACATTAAAATGGAAAGTTGAGTGCTGATTTTAAACAGGGCCCGTCATATGTTATAGTGCCAGTTAGGCCTACATTTGGATCAAGTGCCAACAGTTAAAGTATTTTCAGCCCTTTCCTGAAACCCTGGGCATCTGTTCACGCATGTGATTCGTGCGAATATCTGTGGAGATATTTTGGTGCAATTACTTTACTTTATGTAGGACTATGCAAATCTTCATTGAGCTTAACATTTTTACATTTTTAGTCATTTAGCAGACGCTCTTATCCAGAGCGACTTACAGTTAGTGAATACATTTTTTTTTTATATACTGCCCCCCCGTGGGAATCAAACCCACAACCCTGGCGTTGCAAACGCCATGCTCTATCAACTGAGCTACATCCCTGCCGGCCATTCCCTCCCCTACCCTGGACAACGCTGGGCCAATTGTGCGCCGCCCATGAGTCTCCCGGTCGCGGCCGGCTGCGACAGAGCCTGGATTCGAACCAGGATCTCTAGTGGCACAGTTAGCACTGCGATGCAGTGCCTTAGACCACTGCGCCACTCAGGAGTACACAATACACAATACTCATCAAAAGTTCGTTTTTATTTGATACATTCTTGCCAAAATGATGCCTCAATATTTACAAGTGTATGCAAGCTTGTGGTAATGTATAAACAATACATAGATTACATTAATAAACTTGATATAATTTCAAATATATACCAATTTCCTATGCAAATGTATTCATGTGTTATTACATAGGCTACGCCTATAGGTGAGAAGTGGATGCTTCAAATCCATCTACTAAACTCCGAGATGTATGAGAAAATGTATTGTGTTGTGCTTGTTGCCAAGTTTGGATGAATGATCTGCCAAATTGGGCACATTTGATCATCTTAGTAAAACATCAGTTTAGACATATATTGGATTGTTATGGAACTCATTAAAAACACGCCACTTCGACTCAAGTGACTTTTCGTAGCAGGTTAGGAGAGTATTTTCCCTAACTCTTTTCCCTACCCTGATACGTTAATTCTCCTAACCTGCTGCGTAAGTTCTCCTATCCTGCTACGAAAAATCGTAGCTCTATCGAAGTGGCGTGTTTTTAGGGAATCTAATGTTGTTATGGCCTATAGAAACCCCAAAACCACGTCAACGCAAGGGCACGGGCCTTATCACAACACATTCTTGACACTTACTTATTTTTTAGGAAACGGAAATCTTCATTACAATAGTATCCCATTTGCTTTCGTGATTGAATGCAAGCATCAGATTTTCATCAAAGTTCTATTAAGTGAAACATAGGTTGCGGGGCACCGTCTGATTGGAACAGTTTAAATTTTAATTGTGTTTTTAATTTGACATATAGTTGCTGTGAAGAATGACACCGAAACGCCAAGGGGCGGTCGATTTTCTTAATTTCTCCCCGAGGAATTGATGAGTCTATCAGGGCAGTAAATTGGAAAGCCATTAAAACTCAATGGTTAGGTTGTTAATTGGAACTTGATGGATAGGAGCCCTTGGATAGGCTATACTGATCCAATCTTCTTGACTTTCTGTTTTCCAATAAATTACCCAATTCATTTCCAGCCTCAGATTACATAAATTGTACACCTCCAGGGCTCGCGCTCTGCTTTGCTCTTACGACCGCCTCGACCACCCCCTCCCACACACACCCTCTCTCAAGCTCTCTCTGCAATTTGAAAAAAGGAGCTGGGCTCGGATCCTTGAATGAAAATCGAAACATAATCAACGTTTATACTTACAAAATTTATTGATATCATTTTCTCTGGTAATTTCCTTATTTTAGAGTTGGACACGTCATATATCATAATACAAACGTGTAGGGGTCTTTATTTAATATTTATCGAAGCTTGATTCTTAGATCAAAGCTGCTCATAACTTCATCTGTCTTTCTAAGACCTTTTTCCCATAGTAAAGATCTTGTTCTGTTATTGCAGTAGGGCTGCCATACAACACCTATCATTGTGATAGAGCACGAACTTAGATCGCGCCATGCTGTTTCTGAACATGTTTTCCGCAAATCAGAAGGGTAAATTCAGGATCTTCAGAAACGTTACCGTTGTGCAGGCATATATTGTGTAGCCTACAATTAATGATAGTGTCATTTAGGCCTATTTTCTTTTGATATAAGCCTATCGGCCATCAGGAAAATATATCTTCAGATTTGTTTCAACAGCCTAATGCCTATGGAGTTTAATTGGTATTCAAGTGTCGGATTTATTATGTAATGATTTCTTGTTAAGGGTATAAATAAAGCTTAAACAGACATCGCTGCTGTTGACAAAGGTATTTGTTTGAAAATAGCACGTATAAAATCAGTCCATTTAACTGTCATGGTAGATTTCACGCCTTATGTGCAGTCACCCTAAATCCAGCGCAATCTGTGACTGCCCTCATTCATATATTACCCCAGTAAATGTAGCCTAAGTCTTGGTGGACACATGCATTCTTAAGATCGTTTAACCGCTGTTGGGCTAAATTCGTGTTGACAATCACACGAGGGGTTATCATCATCATCACCATCGTCATCCTTACTCCTTCCTCCTATCAGAGGATTAACAAAACCACAATACAAAACAATATTGAACAGAATATAGGGAGAACGGCTAGGCGCAGCAGCACAAGGGTTAGGGAGCTGACATTATGATTAAAGCTGACCATTTGTTATGTGTCTAGGGTCCCTTAGAAAGAAGAAACGAGGGATAATGTGCTAGAACCGCAAACTCAAACCCCGCAGCTGCCCCGCCAGACACCGTCAGAGAGTGAAGGAGATGGTGAGCGGGGGCGCGGCGCCCCCCACCCTCCAATCAATTAGTAAATCAATTAGCAGGCCTCCACTCCACGCGAGGCAGATTAGCTGCAGTAGGCCTAATGATCAAATTAATTCTTAATCGCAGATAATGGCCGTGGAATGAGTTTATTATTTTCAGGATAAAATAGTTAGGGTTCCGTATTAGTTCCAGGAACAACACCCAGGAATGTATGTTGGATTATCTGACCGATTTACCATCCATATGGCTAATAGAATGCATGCCATTTCTTCCATGAGGTAATTGTGCAGTAAGCCCCTACTTGTGTCTACAGTTGCCTGTCCAGATAACATGGTTTGCATTCCCCCCTGAGGGTGTGTCAATGGTATGCTATTAAACAATTTGAACTAAGTGTGTTAGGGATAAAGGTTTGTTGTTTGAGGGAATATCCCATATCAAGTATTTTACACTATATAAAGTGAAAAGGTTTAAATTGTTGCCTATTATTATAGATGTAGACTTAGGGAGAGTCATGACCAAATCAATTTGCATGCCGTAAAAAATGTATAATATATTATATTATATTGCAGTGAAATAACAAGGGTCTACTATAGTGTTATAATTTGTTATTATGTTGTCTTGCAATATATGTGAAAATATTAATTTTTAAAAATTCCATCAACAAAATATGCAATAGGCCTACTTGTGGTTGTTAAAAAAGGAAAAAGAAAAGTCACTGATGTTCCTCATTGAAAGACTAATGGCGACTAACATGGTTGCACCTGTTTCCCATTTTCCCATTTCTCCAGTCTATTGTCCCCTGCAAATGTAGTCATGCCCAAAAATTAGGTAAGCCTAAGTCAAATTGCCAACATATCACAGAAAAACAAAATAAACAAAACACAAAAATACACAATATAAGACTCGTGAATTAGAAACCTTTACCTACACAAAATTCATAGCCAAAAAAAGTATCCCTTTTCAATCAAAACGTCCAATGTAATTGATATAGCCGAATAAGAGACACGTTGCACCAGTTTCTAAACAAAAGTCGATTTATATTATGCTTATGCAAAACGTCTTGTGTTCTGGCAGGGTGATATGTAGCCTGTGATTTGCTTGTGCCATGATGGCTATTGGTCTACCTTTACTATCGGATTCAAAGAGGAACGTAGCCTATACTCGAATAAACGACAGCCTGTAGTTATTTGTCCTTAGCTCCTTTCATCCTATCTCAGAACCTCGACATGAGTTTGAAATTTCCGGGCTTAGTTTGAGCGTGTGATTGGCCCACGCAGAGCTTACCTACATGCAAATGAGGCAACGCCACAATACTGCCTTTAGTCCAGAGCGCGTGGATGTAGACCAGGAATACATTCATGTTCCCTGAGCTCCAGGAAAAAACAACCCAAGCACCTCAACTTCTAAAAACGGTTTCCTAAAAAATACAATTTCCAAACTATTTTACGCAAGAGTTGTGAGTATTCACAGACCAACAATACGAGAAAAATAACACAAAAACGAAGATATAGCCTAATTTTACTGTTATGAATCGAGAATGAGTACCACAGAAGACAGCGGAAGCAAGTGCTCGTCGGCCCCAATTTCCAGCTTCACTATTCAGTCGATATTGGGCACGTCGTCGGAGAAGCCACGGTCGGGGGCGAAGGAGAGTTCCAAGGGATTGCAGCTGGCGAGGAAGCGCTCGCTGTCCGTGTCTTCAGAAGAGGAGTGCAGCGGTGGGGAGGACTCTGCAGAATGTTTCTGTTCGGATCCTGGTCACAGCGAGCCATGCAACCAACATCAACCACTTAATTTTTCATGTTTAGGTGAGTAGATTACTGAATGTAATTTGAGTTGTGCGTAAAACGTAGGCCTAATTATTTGATGGTTTTAGATTTTGTTTGTATTCCCCTCGCTGACATTTTGTCTTCGAAAATATAGGCTTCCAATGTAAAAAGGTGAAATAGGCTACATGATGTATAAATCAATGCATGGTATCTAACGGGACATTATTATTATTATTATTATTATTATTATTATTATTATTATTATTATATATTTATTATTAGGCTATTATTGTAGCCTAATAATAGGTCAACAATAGTCTAAAGTAGGCTGGGACTAATGATAAACGTATTTATGATAAACTTCGGCAGACGTAGCGTAGTACTTGTTGCAGTTTAAGCTTGTAAACTTAGAGAACTCTATAGTAGTCTATGTTTGTGACTGCAGATAGTTAGTAGGCTATCACTTCACTTTGTTTAATGTGTCGCATTACTGCTACATCCGCGAACAGGGGAAAGGTCAAATAATTAACAGGATGTTTCCCCGTCATTCCAAATTTAATCGAGTCTGCTAATTGATTAATTTTTTTCTAAAACAATGACTGCATTTCGTCAATTGAGCGTTAAATGTAACCTGATTTAATTAATATTGTGCACCAGGCATAGTCTAATTAAATTGTTTATTTAAAAGGGCACTTATAACCTTTCAACGGTCGATGAATGAGTCAAAGTTCACACTTAATGAACTCTTGTACCGAGTATCGAATAATGTTCTTGTTTTAACAGGGATGTTCTCAACCTGGGTAGGCCAACACAAAGCATTTGAAAAATAAGCGTGAAACCTTTGAGACATATTCAACATTTTGAGACACAAAATTGATAAGCTGATCTAAAGACAATAGACTAAAGCATCCAGTATCTTTATGTGATGCATTTATCTTGAGGGTAGGCCTACATCATTTGTCAATTTTGATAGGCTACAGATGATACCGAGGAGGACATTGGGAAATCAGTTTGTTGAAATATTTTGACATCATTTTTATTTTATTTCCTTTCCGACACACATATATACTGGTCTTTTTCCTCAATGCAGGTGCAACAACGGGACTTATTTCAGGCCGTGACGGGATTGCACGGCGAACGCACTTGACACAGCCTCTGCTACAGGATTACAAAGAGGAAAAAGAGAGACCATGCAATCCAATGTCACCTATTTCCGAGGAGAGACAGACAGACGGTGCGGACAAGCAGAGCAACTCGTCCAAGAAGAAGACTCGTACCGTCTTCTCGCGGAGTCAGGTGTACCAGCTCGAGTCCACGTTTGATATGAAGAGGTATTTGAGCAGCTCCGAGCGAGCCTGTTTAGCATCCAGTCTACAGCTAACAGAAACTCAGGTGAAGACGTGGTTTCAGAACCGCAGGAACAAATGGAAGCGACAACTGTCGGCGGAACTGGAGGCCGCGAACATGGCACACGCCTCCGCACAGACACTGGTCGGAATGCCGCTTGTTTTTAGAGATAGCTCCCTGCTCCGGGTACCAGTTCCAAGATCTATCGCTTTTCCAACGCCACTATACTACCCTGGCAGCAGCCTACCAGGGTTACCGTTGTACAATCTGTATAACAAGATTGAATATTGACTTAATGCCTGTGATGAGAGTCCACAAAAATAACACGTTATCACACTACCGTAGCCTACATTCGTATACATGTCTGGCATAACTCATGTCTATTATATCACTTTATTTGTTGAAAATATATATTTCTTATTATGCAGCAACTGTATGTTTAACAGGAAGCAACACATTTATCTATGGGCGGCAGGTAGCTTAGTGGTTAAGAGCGTTGTGCCAGTAACCGAAAGGTCGCTGGTTCTAATCCCCGAGCCGACTAGGTGAAAAATCTGTCGATGTGCCCTTGAGCAAGGCACTTAACCCTAATTGCTCCTGTAGGTCGCTCTGGATAAGGGCGTCTGCTAAAATGTAAAAAATTCTAAATGTATAAAATACACCATGTGTATAATAATTATTTTGTACCTTGATTTTGCGCTCTTCTCCCTGGTTTAAAACGTTAAATTGGGGAATTTCGACACTGCAATACAGATGCAATCAAGTGGACTATGTTTCCCAAACGAATTCTGGATGCATTAAAAAACCGTCTTCAATTGAATGTGAATGTGAATATGAAATATTGAGGTCCAAGACGTCCAACTACCTTCATCTGTTAAGATACTAGAAGAAATTGGGCTTATACATTTGGGGATAGGGAAGTGCAAACTCGTTGATTCCATTTGGGGAAAATGTCATTGTTTTTATTGTAATCATAGGCCTACCAAGTAAACCTCTCATTCAATAAATTTTCTATGTCAATGAAACATGGGTTTGGATTTATTGTACATTTCCTGACTTAGTTTTTAATATTTATTTTCAATTGTGGCATTCAATCCAGTCTTTGAAAATCAGGGATGGAAAAAAGAATTTCATAATTGTACAATGGTTAGGCTATATAAAAAACTCATTTCAAATATTTACACTGCAGCTCAAAGATTATTAAGTAAAACCTATTTGTTCTGTTTTCTGGATAACTTTCTGCCATGGACGTTTCAATCAACATGACATCCAGCTATAGTTGGCCAAACTCTCTCTTATAAACATATGACTCTGCAGCTAACTAGGCCTCTAAAGGTGAACAGCGATACTAAAACACTTTACTAGCTAGTGGCATAAGCTTCCAGTAGGCCAGAATTCAGACATTAAAACTTTAAAACATCTATGTTGCCTGGTAGCCTAAAAACAATGTAGGATCACTGTGTTTCCATCTTCAACTTATATATGTCAAATTTGAACAATGTTATACTGTACGTTAAGCCTCATAGGTCTGTTGTAATAAGTGCTAATTTGCTTACTAACAGTATTTCTAACACCATGTGCTATTAACAACAAAGTGTTATGAACATGTTATTATGAAAAGGGGATCACAGTTTCAAAATGATCTATGTGTACAAGTAGTTTCAGGTGTTGCCTGCCACTGTAGAATTACTGCAGATGGGTTTATGTGCTGCTTCTCCTCAAACATGGGCACATAATGATAATAATGATAGTGTCAAACGCTTTGGTTATATTTATGTTGCCTGTCTTGGACATACATACTCTTTATTTTCATCTGTCATCACAGTTCTTTGGCAAATTAGCCAATGTGAAACATGTCATATGTACTTATGAGAGGGTCAACTCAGTGGCCTGCTAAACCTATTGCAGGGCGGCAGGAGAGAGATGTACACCATCAGCAGCCAATCAGAGCCATGGTGGATATTCCAGCCTGGTCTCATAAACTAGATGTAACATAGTAAATGTAAATCCAGGACCCTCAAATGAGTATGATATATATATATATATATTTTTTTTTTAGTCATTTAGCAGACGCTCTTATCCAGAGCGACTTACATAAGCAATTAGGGTTAAGTGCCTTGCTTAAGGGCACATCGACAGGATTTTCACCTAGTCGGTTCAGGGATTAGAACCAGCGACCTTTCGGTTACTGGCACAACGCTCTTACCCACTAAGCTACCTGACGCCCATGATATGTTATGTTTGGTATGGTTGTAACCAGAGAGTGAAGAAAGATGGTTACTTAAGGCAAAACGAAAGTAGGGTGGTTGGTCAGTGCATAACATGAACGTCTAGCAAACTAAAGGTTGTGAGTTTGAATCTCATCACGGACAACTTTAGCATTTTAGCTAATTAGCAACTTTTCAACTACCTACTACTTTTTTGCTACTTTGCAACTACTTAGCATGTTAGCTAACCCTTCCCCTAACCCTAACCATAACCCTTTTAGCTAACCCTTCCCCTTTAACCCTAACCTTCACCCTAACCCATAACGCCTAGCCTAGTGGACTCTTAGCTAGAATCCGTAACATATCATATGTTTAGCAAATTCGTAACATATTGTATGTTTTGTAAATTCTTAACATATTGTCTGTTTTCGAAATTTTTAACATATATTAAGATTTGTAATTCGTAACATATCATACAAAATGGGTGATGGACATCCACAAATTAATACATACCATACGAAACATAACATATCATACTAAATGGAGAGTTTCAGATTTATGTACAGAATAATACGAAATGCTCTGAGACCAGGTTGGATATTCTGACATTTGAAGTGTGCAATACAGGAAGTTCTAGCCTTGTTGGAGGAAACTTAATAAGCGGTGCTATTGTTAAAGTTCAAGACTTACCGCGTTGTTGTGTGATGCTTTTCCTTTTCAAGCGAGCCACCACTGTATCGGTTACAGTGAAAATACTTGTTAACAGATTAGCGAATGCTTTCTGACCAAGAAACTGCTTTTGAGTGTTTAGAGTAGAGGTTTCATGTAGCACATTGAAAATGGTTGGAAATACACAGTTTGGATATAAATCTATTGTCTTTTTGTATCTTCTTTGTACCTTTTGTATCTTTGCTTGCTCTTACTGTATTAGGCTACAGTATTAGGCTACATTATTACAGTATTAGGCTACAGTATGCTTGCTTTTATGTTAATAGGCCCAATCAAACAAGTCACACAGACACACACACACATATTCTGTGGTTGATGGGGAGTGATAAAACATGTCATCCGCCAGCTTTTCTTGGATGTCATAGCTTACAGCGTACAAGGGATCTCTCTCTCTCTCTCTCTCTCTCTCTCTCTCTCTCTCTCTCTCTCTCTCTCTCTCTCTCTCCTCTCTCTCTCTCTCTCTCTCTCGTCTCTCTCTCTCTCTCTCTCTCTCTCTCTCTCTCTCTCTCTCTCTCTCTCTCTCTCTCTCTCTCTCTCTCTCTCTCTCTCTCTCTCTCTCTCTCTCTCTCTCTCTCTCTCTCTCTCTCTCTCTCTCTCTCTCTCTCTCTTTGTGCTAATGGCTACATTACCCAAGAGGCTCCGTTGCCCTGTAGATTATTCCTGACCCAATTCCTGCAACAGCCGCCCGTGTTCTGGGCAAATGGATCACGTTAGACAACAGAAGTGATTTATGGCTAACTCTGATGCTGGCGGAGAGGTGCAGCTGGATGAATTTGTGACAGATAGGAGAGGGAGAGAAAAGAGAGAAAGCCAGAACGCTCATGAAAAGGAGAAATAGCGTTGTGTGAATTAAGCTGTTTATTAGTTTCACAGCGTACATAATGCTATCAGGTTTGACGGTAATACACCACTCTCCTGGATGGATGGTTGCGCACTGCTGACTTGTGGGAAATCTGCATGACCTGTCACCTGGGGTTGTTTGATTTACAGGAGAGAGAGATAGAAACGGTTGGAGAGACTGAGCAGTGAGAGAGTGAAAGAGAGAAAGAGTGAGAGGGCTTGTGTTATGTATCACACAAATGGCAGGTATGAATTACACATTTTAATATTGGGGCAATGAAAATGATTTGAAGTGGTTTAAACGGCAAAGAGACAGCGGCTGGCATTGTGGTGAAGATTTGTTGAGATTATGTATTGTGCTTTAGGATTCATCAAACCTGCCTGGTAAAGTGAAAAGCAAGTGCAATTCACTTTGTGGTATAATTTATGGCAAGAATAATGGTAATTGTAGAGCCTATATGAGGAGAGGGGCAGGGGAAGAGGATGGGCTGAAGGATTCCCAAGATATTTATTTCATCCCTAGAGGAAACTATCTACAGGATTCCCAATGTTTACATTTGTCTCAGCTTTTCCCATGTGCCAGTCCTAAAATTGATACAAAACTATCAACAATTTGTTTAGGCATATGACTGCATTCTAGTGTAATTCTGTTCGAGTTAGACTGCACGTTCTAAAATACAAACAAAACCAATACCTTGTTTGACATGGTTGTAACAAAGTGTCATGTCATCATTATAACTTTATGTTGGCTTTAATATAAGACATTTGTGTCACCCCAAACATCAAAACTGGCATTTGTTACTGTTTACATTCCTAATGAAACACCAGGGCTGGCTCTAGTCTTTTGGGAGCCCTAAGCGAGATTTGGTTGGGGGAGCCTCACCTCGCCGTCAAAACATTTTAATGGCTCCCCTCTTGACGGTGGAAATGAATTTTTTAATTTTTACAGTTTATTTTCTGCATTTCAACACATATTGCAATGGGGCATAGAGAAAATGTTGCAGTTTTAAAGCAAGTTTTCTGCAATTCTACAGAAAATGTTTCAATTCTATAACTAATTTCATGCAATTCTACTCATTTTGCCATGGGGGCGGTGTAAGGGAGACCGCCCTAGCGGTGGAGGTTTCAGTGAGGAGGCAACAATGCAGAGCTGATTTTCTTGCCCAGAGTGAGGCTTTTATTTGTGGCGATATTGGCCGGCTATTGTACAATATTTACAAACAAAAATAACAAACGATGAACATAAGAACAAACTGAACTAAATCAAATAGAGCGCTCGAAAGAGAAACCTGTCTACAAATTAAAGACAGGTGTTTAAATAGGCATACCCATCATGAATCTGACCAATGACAAAAGGCCACTTCACACCCTGATCAATTGACATTGAAAATGTAATAATTACAATATACAGGTCATAAACAGACATATAGTACCTTGCAAAAGTATTCATCCCCTTGGCGTTTTAAAATGGATTTTTATTTGGATTTCATGTAATGGACATACACAAAATAGTCCAAATTGGTGAAGTGAAATGAAAAAAATAACTTGTTAAAAAAAATTCTAACAAATAAATCACGGAAAAGTGGTGCGTGCATATGTATTCACCCTATGAAGC